TTTGTGCGTACTTTCAATGAGTCAACACTCACTGCACTGCCATCTGTCGCACAACCACTCACAACACACCCACTCCTCATCTCTTGCATCCCTATCCCCTCCCACTCCTCCTTGTATTCAATTATATTATCAGATTAGTAGTCAGATATAAGAGATAATTAAGATATGAATGCAATTTTAGTAATTAAAATTTGGATTACATTAGCGTTAGTGAACAGTAATAGTGTGACTGTATGTTGAATATAGTGTAGTATTCTGTAATATTCTGTAATATTCTGTAATATTCTGTAATATTCTGTAATATTCTGTAATATTCTGTAATATTCTGTAATATTCACTGCATTTAACTAATCAATTAGAGTAATATAATTCTTACAATTATTACACTTATCTATCAAAACTTCACATTTTCATAAGTTTATTACAATCACCATAATCATATTTTTAAATATTTTACTTTAAAACACGAAAATTTTCAATTTAATGGTTTTATTTAAAAACGTGCTTACATTTAAATACACTTAGACTAACATTTAAGTATAATTATAAGAACATATTATATTATATTATGGTTATAAAATGTATTGATTTTAATACAATAATAGATAATTATATCTGATTTGATAATATAATAAAACTAAATTAAATGAAATAAATTTGAAATATAATCGACAAAAATAAATATTCAATGAAATGGTGCTTATACTGAATACTGTAAGATCTAATTGCAAAGTAAAGTAAAGTACAATGTTTAAAATACTCTAAAAACCAGTGCCATATCATTGATCGGGCAAATGGTGGGACAGTTGGGACAGTTGGTCCGACCGGACGTCCGCGGAGTTGGAAACAGTAAGACTCCTCAGACTTCGCGAGCGCTCAAAGAGTGAGGGATCAGTATATATGGGTTCACTCGGATCGTCAAACTTGTGGTGTGAGGCCAACGATTGCGGCGTTCGGTACTGATTCACATAGAAGTTGCCATTTGTTTGTGCGGGAACAACGAAATCAATTTGTTTTGTCTGAAAATCAAGCATTTCTAAGCATTGAGATTTGTTTTAGTGATTGAATAAAAATATTATTTTACCGCAGATTTAGTTCTCTTGAAGTACACGAGAGCTACGGTCGCACTCATGACCATCAGAATTGATGTAAGAATTGTTAGGGCCGTCACTAATACATAATACCTGGTCTGAGACACGCAAACCTTTGACGAGACTTTGCCTACAGTTGTCTGAGTAGGTGTTTGAGCCGATTGTGCTTTACTTTCGGGCGGCGGTACGTCTTCTCGTGACAAANGTTCGTGTACTTCTTCTGCTTCATCCGTTGAATTAGTCTTTGGTTGCGTCGACTCCTTTGACTCCTTTGTTGAATTGACGGCTCGCTTCCTACGACCCCACGATGGGAAAGACCCTGGACCTCGGCCTCTGTCGTTGCAAATGACCTTAAGATTGAAAATGTTATTAATTTTGATATCAAGAGTTAGGAACTCTATTTTATTTAAGAGGAAAGAAGTCTATTTTAAAGACTACATGTCGTACCGGTTCACATGGACCTCTACAGGTTCGCACAGTGGCTTGAAATACAAGGAAATTGGAGTCCGGAATCTTAAAGGCATAAAATTCTGCTTCGAGAGCCCCGTCCGGTGTCTTATGCAACTCAGGGAACACATAAAGATCGACTGGACATCTATAGTGATAAAGTTACAAAGTTTGAAAAATTTAACATTTTTTCCATTACATTGGTGTTAAGAATATTGAAATACCCTCGGGAATCAACCAAATGCACCTGACGTCCAGTGTATGGATCCTTTGCAATAACATTTGGGCGTTTCTATAGCAATAACATATTCAGCATTGCTAGACACTTCAATATTTTCAAAAACTTTATAAAAAGAACTTTTGTAACTTTAACATACGTCAGAATGTGACAGGAGACCGGAGATTAGCCTTTGTAAGCAAATCTCCCACAACAATGGTATTGGTCGGAGTTCCTCTGTAAAGGACTCGCAATACAACATTGGAGGTCAGTATATTTTGCGCCGGCAGGTGCTCTATTTGTGTGGGATGGCGTCTAAAACAACACAATTACTATATTAGTAAGTATTGACTGTATCAGTAAAAAAGGCAATAACTCGCAATACAACATTGGAGGTCAGTATATTTTGCGCCGGCAGGTGCTCTATTTGTGTGGGATGGCGTCTAAAACAACACAATTACTATATTAGTAAGTATTGACTGTATCAGTAAAAAAGGCAATGATGTGAACAGACCCGTCAGTCTTGGTGTCCAAGTAGTTGGAAGTGACGACTGCTTCTCCCGGTCCCGAGAAATAACAGGTCAGGTTATACTTCTTGTCTCGACTCGTTTGCACGTAATCATTGAACTGTACGACCACTATGTTAGTCATGGCATCTCCGTATTGCTGAGTGCCACACCGGGGAAAGCCATTCGCGCGACTAATTCTGAGGACACTAGTTGTGCCCCCATTGCCATCAAAAAAGCACGAGTCATAGAAGCCATACGTATATATTCTTCCGTAAAAAGCCTCAGAAGTACGTAAACTAAACTCCATTCCCTCGGGTGTACACGTCTGCGTGACTTCCATACAGTCGGCGCTGGCAGAGGCCGGTCCCGGTCCGGGTCCTGCAGACATGTCTGAGCGCTCGTAGTAGTCATACTGTGAATTGTGCTCAAAATAAGCGGGATTATCGTATTTGAATTCTTTTGAATCAAAATGACTCAATTCGCAGTTATCCCCCTTTTTCCGGGATTTCAACTTACTAAACGTTTGTTTTAGAGCCCAGAGTCATGTCCGCGCGAGCGTCAGGAGATAGGACAGCCGCGCTTGGTGAAATTTGTGCATAACTGAGGCTTCAGCTCTTGTAAAACCAATCCTTGAAAAGCGAGCCGAGACTGGAGCCGAGCCAGCAGTAGATACCGACGAGTATTTGCAAAGATCAGTGCCCTTCTGGGGTGGATAAGGGGCTGGGATTGCATTATATGATCCACTTGATCCTACACTATAAGGTATGCCATATGATGGAGGGCTTAGCGGTGGTTGAATTACAGGTGGCTGACCAGCACCTGCACCATTAGTGCCAGTACCTCCACTTGTACTGATTGGATAACTAGTATGAGTTGCTGTGTGTTGACTGAATGAACCATAAGGTGGAACACCATAACCAGGATAACGATTGGAAGCCCCATAGTTAGCATTAAATGTTCTTCGAGAAGATGTATAACCTCCCGGTCCATATTCGTCATAAGAAAAGCCGCCCCTATGATGGTCTCTGCCTTGATATGTGTTACCCCAGGGTTGATTAGGAGGAGGTATATTACGAAGACCTCCTGACCGGTAAGGTCCTCGTGGCGATACCTTTGGTCGGGAAACGAGCATCTATACTGAGCGTATTGACACACCTATTTGAGGTAAAGGTGAGGCCAGACAGTGCAATTATATTTTAATTAATAAATTTAGTTTAATTTTTTTAATCGTTAAAATATAATAATATTGTAAAGTTTAGGAAATGTTCGTTTCAAACATAACATGCTTTTGTTATAATTGAATCATTTTAATAATTATTTTAAATAACGTTCATGACATTCAAGAATAAGTCAAATCATTCATTAATTTTCATTCAATAATTTGTGCGAACAATTAAAGTATTGTATTTACATATGCCCCAGGTTCAATGATATGTAATGCAATAATATTTTAGTCTTACATACAAAGCCAACAAAATATGAAATTTTTGTTTGAATTCATACAAAAACTTTTTGTTGTACAACAATCAATATAGAATCATTCAGTATTATTCATTCAGTATTAAAACACGGAATTAAGCACATTGTATGCATTATTTGTTAGTGAATGGCATACATGACTGACAGAATTGATATGACTTACACCACATGAACTTATAAAAGTCATAATTTTTATCGTCGACTAAATTTGACTGATTTGTGCCAATGCCATCAAAACTACTGAATCGACACATTCTCTTGAGAGAAGAATATTCAACAGAACGACAACTTCTTCGGAATCGTTGCATACATTCTTGAAGACAATCGAAGAAACTATAGACCCCTATCTCTACCTGATGTCTACCCTTAAGACGTTTACTGCGATAACACTCAACCGTTGCATTTCGGAGTGATTCGTCTAAACAAAGTGACGGTTTAAACACATCTTTTCATTTTAGGCATAATCTTTATACCAAACATTTATCATTATGAATTGTTTATGTATTAAATATAAATTTACTAAAATCCATACCTTTCTCATCGCTAACACATAGAACTCTGTATAGGTTTCCTGGCGAAGGCTTTAATGGTCTGCTTTTAAATTGTTGGATACTTTGTGTGGACTCGGTTTGGACCTCTTCGTAAGACAGTGGGTCCTCATCGTATAGAATACATGTCTGTCCCGTCTCATCAAACATAAAGGATCGGCAAAGAAAGCCGTGTTTATCCAAACTCTCTAAACAAGCCGTAGAGCACTCCTGGAACTCATTGGCAGTGATTAAAACTCTTTCATAGATTGCATCCAATTGTTTAGCCGTTTCCAGAATGAATGCATTCCACGAACACATTTCGTTTCCTAAGTACCCATCAATTCAATATTTTGTAATGTTGAAAAGTAAAACATAAAGTCATAAATGAACCTTCCGTATATAAGAGGTATATTAGGCTCAACCCCAGGTGAAACTTCCGGAAACCCAAACATATAGCGCAAAGAAATGAGAGTTTGCATTTACTTGTCTTTCTATTGAATGTAACGGCTCTACAAACAAACGAGTGTTCATTCAAACACTTGTCCTCACATTCCGTCCTATTCTTAGTTTGTATTTCTTTGTCATCCGTTGTCTCTAACTTATAGCCCGGAATCCTCTCGAATACATACAAACGGTTCGGACACTGAGTACTAACTTTTGCCGCTGTTTTACAAATTATTGAATAGTATATGAGAATATGTTTTATGTTATACTGAATGTTAATTATAAATAATGTAATAAAATTCTTACACGAAAGACAAACTTGTAACATTACGGTCCGTAAGAGAAGGGCTTGGTCTCACAGGAGAGGTAGGCCTAAAGGGGATAGCAATATGTCTCATGTCCATCTGCAAAGTATAAGTCGTGATTATAACCCTTGTCATAGGAAACTTGGCAAAACTGAATTCTATTTGTAATGCAAAATAATGAACATCTTTGCATATTTTAATATATAATTTCGATATAATTACTGATTGAGGACTTTTGAAAGGACTGGACCGCCTTCGACCGGGAGAGTAATCAAATGATAGACAGTGTTGAATGGCTGTGAGTCTGTCCTCTTGGCACCGACGCATACATTCTTCTAATACTTTAATCGGCAAATCATTTCTTGTTATCTGTTCATGTATTTTCAGATTTTTAGACTTAATTTTAACTATTATTTACAACTACTAACCACTTCTTTGACCGCCTGGTTATTACCAAACCTTGAGATTCCGTTTAACTTAAAATCAACCACTTTTTCATATACTAGTTTCCCAATTCCATTATTGCAACTCTGGGCTATTTATTCAAATATTTAATTCAATCTTTAAATAAACTATGATACTAACGCTAAATTTAATATTTAATACAATGTAATAGATAAATTCTAATTAATGTTTGTAAATATTATTTAAATGCTGTAATTATATATCTAAACTTTAGACTAAAGTATCTGAAAATGAGTTTACATATTAGTAAAGTTACTGCCCCTTAAAACCTACTCTACCTTAAACGTCTGTCCATGCAGACTAATCAATTAATTTATTTCCATATAATTATTTGACTTTCTATAATATGTTTAGTTTACATCACTTTAATGCTAAACTAAATCTCTTAGAGTTTAAACAAATATTTATTTTTAAAAAGTAAATATTTTATTGAGAAAAAGATTTAGTCTATTAACATTATATAAATTATATATTGTATAACATACAAACTATACTGTTATTTATTTAAATATAAAAGTATTTTTAATAACTTTTAATTTATGTAAGAAATATACATAATTTTATAAAACATAATACTGTTAAAACAGCTTAGCTTGTTTGAATATTGAAATTTTATAATTCATTCATATTTATTATATTAAAACATTTATGTCCTTCAGATTCATTTGTTTTCTATCAAATGAGGAAACTCACAACAAATAAATTATTTATTCAAAAAAGTTTTATGAACTATGATACTAACGCTAAATTTAATATTTAATACAATGTAATAGATAAATTCTAATTAATGTTTGTAAATATTATTTAAATGCTGTAATTATATATCTAAACTTTAGACTAAAGTATCTGAAAATGTTAAGTTACTGCCCCTTAAAACCTACTCTACCTTAAACGTCTGTCCATGCAGACTAATCAATTAATTTATTTCCACATAATTATTTGACTTTCTATAATATGTTTAGTTTACATCACTTTAATGCTAAACTAAATCTCTTAGAGTTTAAACAAATATTTATTTTTAAAAAGTAAATATTTTATTAAGAAAAAGATTTAGTCTATTAACATTATATAAATTATATATTGTATAACATAAAAACTATACTGTTATTTATTTAAATATAAAAGTATTTTTAATAACTTTTAATTTATGTAAGAAATATACATAATTTTATAAAACCTAATACTGTTAAAAGAGCTTAGCTTGTTTTTTATAACTTTAAAATATTAAGTAAGTATAAATAATATAATTTTGTAAATACAGGAAGTCTAAGTAAACAAAAGATAGTTTACTCCTTTGAGTGTTGTTTATTTAATAAATAAGTTTTTTCAAAATACTATCACTTTTGTTAGCTTTTGTGCTAAATCACAAATAAAAATTTAAAATATCCTTCAACAGAAAACTCATCCAAATCGTGATTTGACTTTAATATTTATAATACGATTTAAAAACTATTTGATTTGTCTTCAGTTTAACTAGTTTATTTACTTCATTAGATTTGTTATTTTATATTTAATAAACTTTTTAATTTTAAAATTAACTTATTTAATATTAAAGTTCTATTCATTTTTTCACTTTGTTTAAACACAAATTGAATGTTTAAACATATATTAGTAACAGGACTTATTTTTAAACAATTGTCACTTGTAAAGTAAGTTTGATTAGATATAGAAAGTTTATCTATAAAACTTATTTCTAATTTTAAATACTTACGAACAATACTATAACAATAAATTTATAAAAATATTATAATTTTTATAGAGTCTTACCCTCTGTCAGTATTCTGAGAGCTGCTAAAAAGGAGACCAGAGGTACCATTGCTATACACTTAAGCATTGTCTTAAAAACCTATCAAGTATATTAAACATTATTTTAAAATATCACAAATGGTCTTTGAACATTTTAATATTTACATATTATTGAATATCATTATTTTATTACATATTACTGTTGATCTAGCACAACTTTGTAAAAATCAAGATGAAACACTTAATAGAATACAAGTTTTAAAATTCTATTTATGATTCACTATTTGAAAAAATCTTATTTTAAGTAAATTTCGTTGAATTAAAATTTTAGTATAAATTATGACAGAAATATGTGAACAACTTATCAAAGCAACAGTTATGATCACTTTTATGCTATATTAAAAAATTATATGAATTTAAATGTATTAACTCAACAAATTTGTTTCCCAAAAATGAGAATTATTCGTTTGAATGCCTTTTGACTAAATAGGGATGAGCTGAAGGGCTAATTCAGTTCCGTTTGCATAACAATAGACTTCCCGATAGACCGGATAAACGGCCGGTGACCACAAGTCTAACTGTTTTGTCATAGCATTAGGTAAATGACATGATATACATTTTGTATGCTTTTATTCAAATAATTTTGTAACAAAAATAGCGCATTTTATTCATTATAAAATACTGTAATATTATGTTTCCTCAAAATTTCATATATTTCCTATTCTTAGGATTTTGTCAAAAATTGTTTAACTGTTTTAGAAGTATTAATATTTTGTAAATTAAGTATCATAATGAAATCAACTCCAAATTTAGAAAAATATAAAAATTTTAAAACTAGAAAAACTAAATAATATCTATTATTAAATTTCACTTTTAGTTAAATTTCATTAAGTTGAAATTAATTAAATTGCATTCAAAAATCATGATTATTGAATATTTAATAAATGTTTATATTATTTTAAAAGATAATTTTTATAAATAAATATTTGTGTTCAATATTTTATAGATCAAGAGATTTATAGATATTTTTAAAAATTTAGTTCAATTTCAAAGCTGACATAAATCTATATTTAACATTGATTAAATACATTGATTAGATAGTAGTGTTGATATTAATAGTAGTGACAATTAGATTGAGTTCAGTGTTGAGGTCATTAAATATATCAAACAATAGTTACAATTGATGGGACTCTAAATAGACATTTATTGGCATACATTATCACCAAAAGACATGACAAATTCATTCAATAAAAATATGAATTATCCATAGAATTAAATTTAATATTTCCTATTTGAAGGTTAATGACATGTTTTGTTAAGTCATACAGAAATTCACTACAATAAAGATTTATTGTCATTCAAAAACACATAACTGTATGATTGAATATAATAACCATTTATAATTCTTATATATCGATATACTGTAGCTTATAAATGGCTTATAATTAATTTGTAAAAATCTAACTTGTAAAAAATACATACAAAAATCGACTTATCTTTAAAATTAAATTTATATGACTTAATATGAAGAAATTTAATAAACTTATTAATTATTCTGATAAATAAAATATAATTTACTGTATATGATTTAAATCTAGTACTGTTATACTACTATACTATGTTAGTCTAATACAGTACAGTACAGTACTTTTGTAGTTTGCATATTAGACTTACTGTATCAACAAAATTTATTTTAAAAATTGAAATCATTTACAATGGTGTGAATTACCATTGAAATGGTCTATAGATTCAATAGATTTGACCTAAAAGTGTATCCGCCTTTTAACAAAACAATGAATAACTAATAAATAAATTTAATTACAAATGACTTTCACAACAAAATAAAAACCAGAATAACAAAGAGTTTACGCGTTAAACAAATTCTCACATTTGATTCACTCTTATGATGAATAAGTGGTAAAGAAATAGCAAACAATAGTTTTGTGTTTCATTTAAAATATAATTTATTATATCATAATAAACTCATCGAAAGTGCAAATAATTGATAACAAAAATAAACTAGAAATATAATTTATAAACTGTATAGTTAAAATATTTAAAAACTTAACAATTAGTTTGGCTGTGCGACTAGTTTGGATGAATATTGCTATTATTAGGTAATAAAATCTCAGGAAATAATTGTTTAACAATGATATCGAAAATCAGATATAATAGCTGTTTGTTAAGAAGCGGGTATTGGAAGATAGAGAACAACAAATAGACCACTTGTTGGTGTTTCTCTTTGCCCAACACATGGTTGACCAGCCATTGGGGCACAAACTCCTGCGCGTACTTCAGCGCTAACATAGATCTCTGTTTCTTCTGCAGACACGTCCGAAGCGGTAAATCATTTTCGAAATATAGAGAGTCTCTTAACATATGAATCAATTCTACCATTCGCTCGGAAACCAGTAACGAATTCTTCAGCTTTCGCTTCAAATACCATTCACTAATAGATTGCAAAGTTCTCCTTAAAAGAGGTCGAAAAGTGAATAACATTTTTAAAATCCATTCATTAATAGTATAAAAACGAATTAAAAAGAACAACAAATAGTCGTAAACGAAGTCCAACTGAGAGTAAACTCTTTTTGCATCGGTTTCTGACTTCAAGTTATCGTTGGATTCTCTCCATTGACCCATATTTGCATAGAGAGGTCTGTGGAGGTTAGCCATCGCGAACTCGTGCGGAGAATACTCCAAAAGCTCTGACATTTCATTCTTCGTTGGCTTTGGTTTCATCTGTTCTGTGGATGCAATGAATGAAAGGAGGAATGGTTCCAAGTGTTGACCCCTTTCTTTGGAGAACTTAGCCGGAACAGTTTTAATCATTTTTCCTAATCTGATGTCTGGTAGGAATCCAGTGGTAAACTCTTCTGGAGATCTGAGAAAATTGAATACAAGTTCACTGCCTTTGAGGTGAGCGCTGGACAACAATTGCTGAACAAATCTCTCCATTTCCGGTCGACGCGACTCCATAAAAGGTTTACTCAGTTTAATGAACGATCTCTTCGGTGGTAAACAGATTTCATTGAGATTCTGTCCGTGAAATTCCTTCAGTTTAGACTCGAGAACATAAAACTCGTTATACCGGCGCTCAACCGTCCAACTCATGTCCACCTCCTCCTCGTGCACATCAAGCCTTTGGACACTAATCACAAAATAGTCATATTCTCTGCCATTTGTTGCATCGATTCGAGATTCCACTCGAGGTATGGATACTCTCCAAGAGCTTAAGTCTTTCATGCGATCAATGCTTGCAAATTCTGTCCAATTATTTAATTCGTTTCCATTCTGTGAAGACTTTTCACAGTCTTGTGATAAATGATTGAAGACGTCATCCAAAGACTCTTGACTTCCATCTAAACGACAGTTCAATGAAATGGATTCACAACTCCCGGAATGTGAGTTCAATGTTTTGGCAGTGGGTTTGGATTTAGTTGGACTCATGCCTTCAAAACTAGTCCATCGCTGACCGCATATCAGTTTAAAATAGAGATCACTTTCAAGAAATAGCGGACAGTATTGTGTTTCCAAGAGATTGGAGATGTAGTCAATGGCGTCATACAGGGGTTCAGTGGTTCGGAGGCGCTCGACATCTTTTGGATTTCCCTCGACTACTGACTTGAATCCATTGAAGACGTCTTCATTGAACTTAATGTAATCAATACTATTGGGAAGAAAATAGGAATTGAAAATATTAATCACTTCGAAGTGAAGGTCTTTGAGCTGCTCTTCGGTTAAGTCTGGGTTTAGGATCCGTTGACTGAAAGAATTGATGTGAAGAACAAATTGAACCAAATTTATAAACCCCTCGTCTTTAGAGAACTGTTGGAACAGAAACAACAACTGGTGGTCAGACAGTAAGTGCCTCAACGAAACGGCCATCATATTATTATCTTGATACTTTAATTCTTCATTGCTTCCCATTTTCAAACTGTTTGAGTCTCTCGTATGACTGCCTTTGTTGGCCACAAATGTGTCCAGAATTTCCACCATATTTTCGCTGTTATTCTGATTCTCATTCACCGAAAGTGTCTTTTCATCCAACAGTACCACAAGAAGTGCGTTTATTTTGTCGGGATCTCCGCTGATGTCCATCAGAGGCAACAGAACAGAACAGGCCATCAATTGCTTGAAGAAACAGTCGACGAGTTTGCAGTTCATGTACTTCGGCGGCAATATATGCGGTAATACTCTCTCCACAACTGATGTCAAGTACTTTATCTCTTCTTCCCTGCCGTTCATCGCCGGATGAATGAGATGTCCGTATTCTCTGAGAACGGATTCCTCGACGTATTGAGCAGTTTTCGAGTGTCGTTTGCCGGCGACATATGTCTCCAAATGATGGGTCAATACTTTGGGCAACTGTTCCAACAGGAAGTCACTGTAATTCACAAAATACTCATTCAATAAATATCTTAAACATCTGATCCTTACGTTATGTTCACATCCATTGCCCTCCGGATCAGTGCCGAGAGAAGTGTCCGCAGAATATGTCTCAACTCGTGGTCCAATTTGTTTGTATTGATCGCAAAGTCTTCTAAATATTGATTCACGAATCGGTTGAGCGTCAGCTCCAGTATCTCATCGATGGCCGCATCCACTCTACGGTCGATTACCAGACCTTTAAATGGCTTCACATTTACAGATAGTCTCGAGCAAAGTCTTCTAAATATTGATTCACGAATCGGTTGAGCGTCAGCTCCAGTATCTCATCGATGGCCGCATCCACTCTACGGTCGATTACCAGACCTTTAAATGGCTTCACATTTACAGATAGTCTCGAGTCATGTCTTTCGCAACTAATATCACCACAAATGAGGCATACATTCAATGACTTGGAATCTCTTGCAATCAAATCCTTGCAGATATTTTCACTGATATTATCACTGCATTTGATCCAAAGAGAGGGAAAGTGTCTCGACTTTTTCAGTAGTAATGATTGAAATGATATGAAACCCAAAGTGAATGCAAGGATTAATACAAATATAGCGTAAAATCCATTGAAGAATACGTTATTGTGATTATCGTTACGATACTTACTGTTGTGTTAGTTGGTTTAGCAGAGTTGGTATCTGGAGAAGTAGTGCGCTAGAGATTGACATTATGATAATGGTGATTATGATACCGAAGTGTAGTTTAGAGTTTATTAATTATATATTCAAACTATTCATTCATAAATAAATAACTCATATTTGCTTTGGTTTCCTATTTACAGGTAATATACAGTTATGTTAATTATCGTACACTTCAGGTATTGTGTCATAAATTGTATACATTTGACAATAATTACTGCGATTATTGGGTCGTATCCTATCAATGATGTTGTATTCAATGCCGCCCTTTCAGCTCATATACCATACAATGGCATACATTCAGTCATTGCACTTCTTGAGGATTTTAATACCGTACACCTATTCATACGTTTTTTATGAGCATTTTTATTATTTAGCAAGCAACTTTTTGTTGTCTATTCATATTTAAACATAATATTATTCATTTGACATCAAATACCAAGCACTTATAATATAATCAATGCATTACTCTTTATCGCAAAAATAATGGGGAATCAGTTATCATGAAATGGTAATACTGCACATTGTAATTTACTATTCTACAGTACGACAACTCGATCGTGTTAATAAGGCATATATCATTTTATCATAAAAATGAAAGAAGTTCAAATTTTCTTGTTAACCTTAAACACTCGAACCAGTAAAATGATCAAATTTATTATTACGATGTTTTATCTTTATACTATTATTTGTATTTTAGCGATTAAAAAATATTCCATAAATGGTTTCATTTTACTTAAAAAGTGTTGATTAGGACTATTTTATTGTACATTTTTAAATGTTCAAATTACTATTTATCAATGTTTTAAATATCAATATATGATACATGAAAATTTTAGTGAAATTGTAATTAAATAAAAATTTGAAAATATTCACTAAAATTGATGCAATGTTACTTATAATAATAAGTTCAAATTACTATTTATCAATGTTTTAAATATCAATATATGATACATGAAAATTTTAGTGAAATTGTAATTAAATAAAAATTTGAAAATATTCACTAAAATTGATGCAATGTTACTTATATTAATATTAATATTAATATTATAATAATACTTCATAATTCTTGACTAGAAATTTGAAGCATATATTTTCAATTCTTACTAAATTTCTGCTTAATCTTAATTAATTGAAAACTTAATATTAACTGTAACCCCATATCAATTACCCTCTTTTCATCATTAACTCCACGAAAGCAACTAAACATAGCATAAAACTTAAGATCAAGTAATTTCTAATGTTCTTAATATTGGTGTCATTTGTATGAAACTATGGAAACTTATTTAAAATTGCAAACAAATCATTTATTAATAAAAATTGATTTTTTCGAATGAATAAAAAATATAAAATAAATACAGTATATAATTTGTAACTTATATAATATAATCATTTGGTTAAACATTGAATGATAGCAAAGTGTATGCAAAGACCGACTCCAGAGAGACTGCGATTCACGTGAAACGCATGTCTTCATAGATATATCAAAATTTCCATCAATTGCTTCATTCATGCAATTCTGTGAATTCTGTCAAAACTGTGAATTCAATTCAAGAATTTTAATTTCAGTTTTCATTATATTTTATTTCAATTTATTTGAAATTACTTTCATTCATAAATCTATTGATTGGTAAGTATTTTATAAATATTGTTTAATTGAATTTCATTTAACTTAAGACACGAAATAGATTTAATGAGTGAATGTGTTTGTCATTTAATTATTTAATCACTGCTAATATGATTATAATTTGCATTTAAATTCGTTGTTATAGTGAATGAATGAATTGTAAATTTGTTCAAATGTTGAGTCCATTACCTGAAGTAATGATAAT